ATTTTATGATATTTTTAAAAGTCTTAGCCGCAACATTGTTGATGTCTTGTTGATTTCAATGTATTGTATATACATATTTAGACAAAGCCAAGCACTGATATCATCGTACTTCTACAAAGACATCCTTAAATTCTCAAAATGTAATTTAAGGTTGCTAACGGGGTTTTTTACAGGTCATTATGGACTAAAATACCACCTTCATAAACCACAACTATCGAAGATGAAACTAACATGCATATTATTTGTGAATGCCCAGCTTTAATAATGCTTAGAAGATTTGTTTTATATGGAACTTATGTCATCAGTACAGATTAAGAATTCTTCTCTAGGTTTAGTTTTAGACTTTATTCACAAAGCTTTAAGGGGCATTGTGTAATCAGTAGTGAAATTGGTACAATAGGACTCTTTTCCGCAGTAATGGCTGTTGGGCGATGTCACACTTAAACTTTTAACAATAATATTTAATAATAATATTTTTAATTAATCGTAAATACATTCGGTATATATATATATATATATATATATATATATATATATATTATATATATGTGTACATTTGAAAATGCTTGTAAAGGATCTGTACCATTTGATGTTCTATGTACCATACACAGAATAACCTCTATTGTTGCTACCGTATAGAATTTATAATTTGAAACCGCTTATTAAAAGATTTTACCATTCTATTATATATATATATATATATATATATATATATATATATATATATATATACTATACACGGAATATATTCTATTATTCTACGTATAGAATTAATAATTTGAAAAACGTTTAAAAGATATATTATCAAAATGTTTTTTTTCTATATGTTGGTAACACTCATAGACATTCATAGACATTGTGTAGACATTCGGGATATATGTACTATACACCGCATAGTATATACACCGTTCTAGTATTTTTAATTTGAAAAACGCTTATGAAAGTTATTACCACAAATGTTCGTACTATAAGTTAGTAATACTGTGCTATATTATCACACGAAGTTTGAGTGCAATATGTTACTCAGTGTGTTTACATTAGTTGTTTTTGCTATTATAGTTTAGAGTGTTTAGCGATGGCAGAACGTTGTAAAAAAGTTTTTAAAAAAGAAAGGCAACGAGTTCAATGGCACCGTGCAACTTTTTCCTGTTGCCAAAGCTGAAATTACCACTTCGAGAAAGGTGTGTCGAGTTCTTTGCTTCTATAAAGACAAATTCATTTCAGGAAGCGAAAACCATATCTCAATCAGCCTATAGAAAATGGCTGACAAAATTGTACCACGCCAACTTTGTGGGTGAGAAAGTAAATTTTGATTGATTGATTATTATTTTACTGTTTCTCAGTAATATTGTATAACTTTAACACAGAATATACATATATC